ATGTTTATGTGACTTAATGTTGGTTTGACTTAATGTTTATGTGACTTAATGTTTATGTGACTAAATGTTCATGTGACTTAATGTTCATGTGACTTAATGTTTATGTGACAATGTTTATGTGACTTAATGTTTATGTGACTTAATGTTGGTTTGACTTAATGTTTATGTGACTTAATGTTTATGTGACAATGTTTATGTGACTTAATGTTTATGTGACTTAATGTTGGTTTGACTTAATGTTTATGTGACTTAATGTTTATGTGACAATGTTTATGTGACTTAATGTTTATGTGACTAAATGTTTATGTGACTAAAATGTTTATGTGACTTAAAGTTTATGTGACTTAATGTTTATGTAACTTAATGTTTATGTGACTAAATGTTTATGTGACTTAATGTTTATGTGACTTAATGTTTATGTGACTAAATGTTTACGTGACTTAATGTTTGTGTGACTAAATGTTTATGTGACTAAATGTTTATGTGACAATGTTTATGTGACTTAATGTTTATGTGACTAAATGTTTATGTGACTTAATGTTTATGTGACTTAATGTTTATGTGACTAAATGTTTATGTGACTTAATGTTTATGTGACAATGTTTATGTGACTAAATGTTTATGTGACTAAATGTTTATGTGACTAAATGTTTATGTGACTAAATGTTTATGTGACTTAATGTTTATGTGACTTAATGTTTGTGTGACTTAATGTTTATGTGACTTAATGTTTATGTGACTTAATTTTATCGAGAAAATGAGGATGTTTAGAAAACTTTGCAATAAATATATATATATATAAGCTGACATTCAGAACTCTTGTCTCATGCTCATCTTTTGATCTTAAACCAGAATGTCTTCAGTGCACAACAAAAGCAAGGGAATTTGACTTGCTGTTCCAATACTTTTGGAGTATATATACATATATAAGTTAATATGATCAGGGTTTTTGTCAGCATAAAAACACCAGATTCCTTAGCTTTTCAAGTTTTACTGAAGGATGTTTCACTGGAAACAAAAATGAATCACAAGTGCGTGAATATAAGACATTAAGCTTTTTAGTTGAACTCAGATTTTTTTTTCCTTTGTTTTGCACAATAACACTGACCAGTACTTCTAAAGAAATAAGTAATGCAAAGGAAATTATTTTTTTAATGTGAAAGTACTTTATTGACTTGGAAAAATTTTCCACAGGAAATTAAATTCACTTTTTTTGCCTGATGATAAATGTGGCAAATTATCAAGTATGATGAACATGACAGCTAATAAAATACAGTTTGTAGTGCTTTCCCCCTCCAAATTTATAAAATTAAATTTTCTGCAAAACACATATCCATGAAATCAGTTTTAAAAGCTAAAAAAATCTTAAGGATTACTGCCACCTTCTGGACGAACATTGTACTGCTGCAGGCACGTTCAACTGGAAAAAAAGAGCAAGTTTTCCGAGCATGAATGGGTTATACGTTTTCTCATGCCAACGAACTGATTTAAATGCTGCATAATTTTTTTCATTAATCACTTTATTGAGATGGAAAACAAAAGTAGTATTTTGTTTGTATTTTTTTGTATTTTAATATGATTGGAAACTTCTAATTTAATGCCAAGCATGACTTCTCATTATTAATTTTATGTGTTGCACAACTCTGCTGCCAAAATGACGGAAAAGGAGCAGGAAAACCCACTATTTCACAACTAAATGTTCTTGACGTGCACAAGCTGGAGCGTTGAAGGGAAACTGCACACCACTCCTGTCGTAAGTATCCTTTGCAGATGCTTTTTGGGGTAAGGGCTTCCCACATTCATGTACGCACAGCAAGCCCAGACCGCAAAAAGACCTGAAAAGAACAAAGTTTCCCTATAGAGGAAATCATGGCCATCATCAAAAACAGTTGGTTCAGTATCTGAAACACACAGGGACATTCATCAGCTACAAGCAGGTGTAAATGTGAGGATAAAGTGCTTGAATTTGATATTTTTTCTGTCTGTTTTAAAGAAAACATAAGTAATCAGTTGCCTGGCTTACAAAATATAAAGATGTAAATCAGTCAGGTTAACATGTTTAGCTTTAGGTGAAGTAAAATATATTAAAACCAGAGTAAAATTTAGTAACATATTTACTCCCCAAACAAGTTCATTCATTTTCATTGTCCTTAATCCCCCAAATTTAACACAAGTGATGTTTCAGACAGTGTTGACAAAACAGTTAAAAATGCTAAATTTTACAATATTTTCTAAACTGAATCCCCCAGCGGTTCAGGACCAGCTTCAGAAAATCCAAAATATTCTGTTATAAATCATTACATCATGACCATTTCTGCATCTTGAGCACAATTCTTCAGCTTAAAGCATTCAAAATTAGGAGGTGAAGCAAAGTCTACCTTGTGAAGTATTGAGAAAGTGTGAATGTGAGAGAAATATGCATGCACCTTAATATAAAAACACTACAACAAGTGAGCATGCAAAAAATGGTCTCAACAGAACTCATTTCAACCAAAGTCTGTAGGTCAAATAAGGGGAAATAGGTGTGATTTTCTGGTATAAACAAGAGTTTGAATTTTAGGAAGAAATACATCAAAAAAATTGACAAATGATCACACGGAAAGTAAAGGTTAAAACTTTGGCCATGACCATTTTTGCTTTAAACGTAGATGGAAAATGTACCATTCTAATATTAAAAAAAATCAAAAAAGACACTAATGTTTTATCATCACGTTCAACGAGCAAACACAATCCTCATCTCATAAACATGATTGACTGCAAGGAGATTATAGGTTGTGTGAGTTGTGTAAACATCTTTTTTTTGTAATTGAGTTCCATTTTGTAAAGCAAACAATATGGACTGTGATGTCATTAATATTAAGGAAGAAAACATACACTGTAAAAATGAAATGTTGGATTTACTTAACCATGTTATGTTACCTGGTTCCACTTAACTGAGTTGAGTAAATTCAAAGCAATATRCCAGTTTTTTAGCCAAAGAACATGAGTATGTTGCTTTGAATTTACTCAACTCAGTTAAGTGGAACCAGGTAACATAACATTGTTAAGTAAATCCAACATTTCATTTTTAGAGTGTAGCATTTATATTTATCTAAACAGAAGTAATTATATTCAATTGGGGTTTCCATAAAACCAGTTGAATCATTTACTGTTGAGTCATTTAAAAACCACCTTACAAAATTAGAAAATAATCTTATTTGTTGATGAGAAAGCTGAAAATTTAGAGAAAATTTTATACATTTTGACCACATTATATGTTGAACTATAAATAGGAGGGAAACATAAAAGGGTTGTGGAACTTTAAATATGGTCAACCATTTCAAAGTTGACCATAAAGCTGCTTGGTTGAATAAAATCCCTACAAGGGAGAAGATGCTACGAATATATTATGAGTAATAATTAAAAAAAAATTACCCCTCTTTTAGTACACCTAGTACTAAAATATCGCACAGCTGCTGACATCATCTTACACCAATTTGGCACACAAACGTGACGTCTGCATGAAATTGGTAAAGCAGCAAAAAACAAACAAAAAAGACGTTATTTTAGGTGCACACATGAACACAACTAGGCCTAATAATAATAATAATAATGTTAAAAAATACCAAATATGTGTTTTGCTTTGAAAAGCAGGGGTGATTGTGTGAGGCATGTCTGCTCCTGCTGATGCAGTCAGTGCGGACAGAAGAAAGGAGAGACCACACTGGCTGAAGCTTCACGTGAGCTGTCCGTGGTG